ATCCCCCCGTGGAAGCGAATTCTCTTTCTTGAACGAGAATCCTTCATTAGCGAGGAGGCCCACACAGTAACGTGCGATATTGTATTTTTGGGATTTAAAAGGACACACCTAGGTATACCTTGGCATACATCATCATAGGTTTCAGAGCCTCAGGCTACCTTAGAAATTATCTTGTCTGGTCTCTTCAGTTTACAGATGAGAAAACTGAGACCCAGAGAGGCGACTGCTCCCCCAAGACCTCGTGGTCAGTTAGAGACCAGGACGGGTTTTCGTGCCCGTCTCGCGCTGGCGGAAGCGCAGACACGGACTAGAGCCTTCAGTGGGGCTTGTGGTGTGGGTGGGACACCGGCTGCCCTGTTACATTCATTGCTTTATTTTTACAACAGCCGTGGGCGGGCAGTCCAATTTTACCCCGGCTGGCTGGACTGAATTACATCCAGACACCATTACCCCACGCCAGCATCGGATTCCACAAGTCAAAGGTTCAGCCTTCATAAGACTGCCCTACTTCGGATGCCAGCCAGGGACCCCCATGCCACCCTCACTTCTGACCAGCCAGGTACAAATTCAGGGCTTGCCATGACTCCCTCAGTTCACTAGAATGACTCACAGAGCTCAGGAAAGTGCTACACTTGTGGTTATGGTTTTATTATAAGGGATGCACACGAAGAAAGATCTGGAAGGACCAGACACGGAGAGTCCTGCTCTCCTCCATAGGATCAGAGGCCTCCTCCTCAACATGTCTGTGAGTTTCTCAACCAGGAAACGCCACCGAGCTTCAGAACTCACTACAAAGCCACAGGATCCAAACGGTGTGGCACTGGCACAAAGGCAGATACACAGACCGCATGAATGGAATGGAGAGCCCACAGATAAGTCCTCACATTGGTGGCCGAATTATTATTATTTTTTTTTGGAGAGGTTTTTTTGTTTGTTTGTTTGTTTGTTTTTGCTATAGGGCATGTGCACTCGCCAGAAAGACAGAGAGAGACAGAGAAATAGAAAGTGAGAAATCACCCCTCAGGGCGGGGGGGGGGGGTGTGTGGCCATGCTGCAATCCCTTCTCCATTCTCCTCTCGGGATCTTGGGCACTCACGCACACACGCCCAGCATGAGTTTAAGACACCGGGTCTGGGACTCAAACCACGGTCGACTACATGGGAATCCAGCGATATAGCCATTACACCAACTGCTGGTCCCAGATGGCCAAATGATTTTTAACGAAGGAGCCAAGGCCACTCAACGGGGAAAATACAGTCTTAAAACAGCTTTGAAAAACTGGATGTCAACATGCAAGAGAATGAAGCTAGACCCCTACCTAACATCATAAACAAAAAGTCATTGAAGATAGATTCGCAGCCTGAAGAAAAGGACGAAGACTAGGAAACTCTCGGGCAAAAACAGGGGAAGAATTGAAGACACTGGACTTGGCAATAACTTGTGGGATCTAGCACCAAAAGCACAGGCAACGAAAGAGGAAACAGACACACTGACTTTGTAGAAATGAAAAACTTTTGTGCTTCAAAAGACACCATCAATAGGATAAAAAGGTAACCCACAGAATGGGGGAAAATATTTGCAAATCATAAGGGATTACTGTCCCCTAGAGAACTCGGGATCCAGAGCTTTTACTGGGGTTCCATTGCATCTGCATGATTGATTAACTCATGAGCCGCATCATAGAACTCAATCCCCTTCCTTCTCCAGACCTCAAGTGAACCCCAAATTCTAATCTCTAATCACATGGTTGATACTGCTGGTGGCCAGTCCCCATCCTGAAGCTATCTGGGGACCTGCCGGGTGTCATAGCTTTGGCACAACAAAGCATAGCAAAGATAATGCCACCACTCCATGAGTTTTGGAAACTTTGCACCAGGAACCAGGGACAAAGACGGGATGGACTCTTCACTATACCACAGAGGGCTTTAGCGCCCTTTTAACAAGCTGAGGCTGAGAAGGGTGTAAGTATGAAAGTGGCCACGTCCTACTGCTGGCCGGTGGCAGATGTGGACCCAGAGCTCAAACTGGCAGGCCCAGGCTCTCCGGCCCACTGCTCCCACGTGAAGGATTCGTGGGAGAACAGGGCTGAGCAAACGGTCTCTGGGGCCAGTGCAGACCAAATGAGGCAAGATGAACTGCTCCCCAGCAGTAGGGATGCTGAGCCACAGCAGGGGCTCCCAGCTTGTAAGGAGTCACGGCCAGGGCCTGGGCGCCTGGGAAAGGACCACGAAGCGCTCTACTCTCCACAAAGAACTCGGGCAGTGCAACAGCCTTTGTCCGCCCTGGGGGCTTAGCCCAAGGTGGGGGAAGCTGGGAACAGGTCTAGGCCACAGCACCTACCAAGGAGATTCCAGTGTCACCCCTAAGCCTGCTCAACCTGCCTCGGCCACTCTTCCGTGGAAACCACTTGGCCAGGAGCCCTTCCCACCCTGCCCTCCCGCTCCCCTGGTGCGCCCCGTGTGGCCCTGCACGGCATAGCACGCTCCCTCGGAGCTGTGAGGAAGGAACTGCCTCTGGAGGCCTCCTCCACCTCGCATTTTATATTACTCTGCTTTGTTTTAGAATACTCTGGCTTCAGCCCGGGGTGGCGTGGGGTCAGGGCAGCTGGCCACTTAGGCACGTGTCATAAACTTAACAAATGCCAAACGTCCCTGATCAGCACAGCCCCTCCTGAGCGACCTGTGCAAGCCTTTCTCGGAGCCAGTTTGGGCGAGTTCGGAGGAGACTTTCCCCCTCTGGCCCCGGAGTTGGCTGGGCTTGGTGATGACGCTGGCCTCTGAAGAATCCCCATCAGGGGTCAGGGAGCCCACCTGGTTGAGAGGCCCCCGACGACCCACCAGACGGACGTTTGGGGACAGAGGCCGTGACAACCGAGTCACGAGCTGCTTCCTAGTTGTCTGACCTCGTGGAAAATCAATGCGCCTCTTGTTTTTGCCTCCTGAAATATTTCATCGTGGTGGCTCTTCCCCAGGTGACAACATATTTTATGACAAAGCGCACAGCAGACTGCTGGGCCCTGGTGGCTTCAGCGCAAACTGACATCCTTGCCTGTCGCTGAAGAGGATCACTGCAGGACTGGCAGGCAGGTGCTTCGTGTGAGTGAGTTCCCTGCTCGGGAAGCTGGAGTGTGGGGGTCGGGGGGCGGGGTGGGAGGGCAGAGGCCTTGCACCGCGGGGCTGGAAAGGAGCCGTTCTGGACAGGTAGCAAGAAGGCTGGTGTCCCAGGATGTCGGGGTGTCTGGGCCCACCCACTTTACAGACAAGGAAACAGGGTTTCTGCGAGGGCCCAGAGAGAGAGGGCAGCCTGCCAGCTAGGGGAGGGCCAGGACTCTGCTTCCACACCAGGGTTTAAAGCAACCCCCCTCCCACCCCCTGCCTGCTCTCTCCCCTCCTCCCTCCCCATTCTTCTCACCTCGTACCCCCCCCACCCCCGCAGTTTAAGACACCCCCAGGGGCCACAGGAGGGGAGCGGAGGGAGGGAGGCAGGCTGTCCTCGCCTGGCTTGCTACTCCCGTCAGTGTGGACCTCCTCCCTGTCTCACCTGCCCCCACATAGCTCCCGGCTCAGAGCAGGCCCGGTGGGAACTGGCAGGGGCCTGCCTGGAGAAGAGGCCTGGCTCTGACCACTCACGGGGCCAGGAGGGGGCCTGGGTCTTCAGTCCTGAGATGGAGGCACCAGCGTACACAGCCGGGGTTAAGCTACAGAGGGAGGGACCCAGGCTGGAGCTGCCCCTGGGCTGCCAGCTTCCTCCTGGGCTGGCTCCTGGACCCCGCAGGTTAGGGGCAGGGCCATGACTCCTCCTCCTGGACCCTGCAGGTTAGGGGCAGGGCCATGACTCCTCCTCCTGGACCCCGCAGGTTAGGGGGCGGGGGCGCCTCCTCCCC